AGGTTCTCGCGTTATATTGCGCCGACCCGGGACATGATGCCGATTATCGTACCGTATTGATTCCTCGCCATGACTAGCATCGCGCCGTTATCCCGCCTCGGTTTGGCCTTGGCTTGAGGCTGGTGACGTCCTCTAGTACGGGATGGGAATCTAGACTGAAGACGGGTGGGAGCTAGGATTCATGCTTTGACGGATTAATCCAATCTATTTCCGAGTTCCTGGGCTCATCTGGGGTTCGCTTGCCGTCACATGAGCCGTGATATTCCAATTTTTTCGCTCAGTTTTTTCTGCGACCCCTGCTCCTTGGTGCGAGGCCTTCCGAAAATAGCTCCGGACGGCCAACCTCCGCCGATCGTTCGTGGCATCGCATTGTCCCCCAACCCACCGCAATATATCGAAGCACTAGGATCGTTATGGAATCTCGACCGTACCGCTTCCGCGTAGAGCTTCCGTGTCGCTAGCCATTGGAGGACAAACTAGGCTCTACGATGAAACCCGACCAATAATTCATCGCCGTAACGCAACCAGTTTCTATCTTGTGATGCCCGGCGCTCCGGGATTAGCGCCACCAGGTGTCGCAAGGATGCAACACGGCGATTATTTATAGGAGATGCTGGTTCCAACCTCGCATCGTAGTTTATTTGATCGGCGGGAGCACTCATCTCAGCTACTATTAAGCATATAATTATCAGCCTTCAAAATGAGGTACTCTTCGCTAGCAGCCGCCGCCATCGCTGGTGCCAGTCTGGCATCTGGCCACACTATCTTCCTTCAGCTCGAAGCCGACGGTGTCACGAACCCAGTTGGCTATGGTATCAGAACGCCGTCTTACGACGGCCCTATCACCGACGTGTCTTCTAACGATGTTGCCTGCAACGGCGGTCCCAACCCAACCACGCCCTCCGACAAGATCATCAACGTCAAGGCCGGTTCCACTGTCAATGCTATTTGGCGACACACTCTGACATCCGGACCTGGGGACGTGATGGATGCTAGCCATTTGGGGCCTACTCTAGCCTATCTCAAGAAGGTTGATAATGCGATGTCTGATAAGGGCTATGGCAGTGGATGGTAAGCCAGATGACCCATTCGCCCAGATATTTTCTAGGGTTGATTGTTAATTATCAATTAGGTTCAAGATCCAGCATGATGGCTACAGCAACGGAGTCTGGGGTACCTCCAAAGTTATCAACAACCAGGGCAAGCAGCCGATCAAGATCCCCGACTGCCTGCCCGACGGCCAGTACCTCCTCCGTGCCGAGATGATCGCACTTCACGGTGCCAGCTCCAGTGGAGGAGCTCAGCTTTACATGGAATGCGCTCAGATCAACATTTCCGGCGGATCCGCGACCAAGACTCCCACGACCTACAGCCTCCCCGGCATTTACAAGTCGAACGACCCCGGTATTCTTGTTAACATCTACTCTATGGGCCAGAACAGCCAATACGTCATTCCAGGTGCGTATCATTCATCAGCCGTTCCTAGCTACCACTAATAAGTGCGATCAGGCCCCGACCCGTTCAGCTGCTCAGCAAGCTCCGGCGGAGGCTCCCAGCCCCAGCCCCCGGCTTCCACGACTCTGGCAACGTCCACTAAGACCGCGTCAAACCCTACGACGCCGACCTCTCCCCCTGGCTGCACCGTCGCGCAGTGGGCTCAGTGCGGTGGCGCCAGTTTCTCTGGATGCACTACCTGCGCCAACGGGCTCACTTGCAAGAAGCAGGTATGTTACTCGGCTCAGCCACTGCGGAATGTTACCATATGCTAACCACATGCCTTATAGAACGACTACTACTCTCAGTGCCAGTAAAAGGTGTAATGGTCACGATAGATATGCAAGTATAGCAATATAATGGTATTAATGCACAACTACCCTTCTCCCCTAGAGTGATGTCACTAGTAAACCCTCCCCGTACTCTTATCGCCGATCGTTACTTCGCTTCACGGCCATCGACCCGAAGAAAAACGACGGGGACGGAACATTGATTGAGAAGTATCCATTGCCATATGAAAATATCTATTATCAACACCGCCTTCGTTGTATTGCTCCGAGAGTTCCCCGCGAAAGAGCAAAACACCAGTCCTAACTTCAACCGCCTCCACCTCCATAATATACAAAGTATTATGATGATATGATATAGCTGCTAAAGGTGTCGTGTACGATATCCATATGATGACATTTATAACTTCCGCCCATCCGCTTCGCGTGGCGGAAGAAGCGGCGCGTCTAAGCGCCGACCGGAATCGACATAATTGCAGTTATCTTCAGTCGCACGATTAGCGGCAGGAAGTAGGCGACTACTTTGAGAAAGGGGGTAAAGAGGCATACCATGACTCCAATCGCCATCAAGGAGAGAATGAAATAGTGTTGTATAGAACGCCTCTGTCCAGTGGTATCGTAACCGCTGCGGCCACGGTCGCTGGAAGGTTCACTAATGGGTTTGGCCTCGGTGGTGTCGTCCATGTTGTGCGTGTTTCGACCAAGGGGAATCTCTGGGGGTAAATTAGTGCCACCTCTATGATTTATGAAATCGGAATTAGGAAAGCAAATTAAGGCATCCGAGATGCCGCGGAGGAGTTTGCTTTGGATGAACTTGAGTTGGCTGGCTAGAAGAGGTCTGCATTTAGATGTAGGCATTTTCACTTCTTCATATACCCAATCAACAATAAAATTCCAGCATCCTTCGCCTATAGAGTTGGTGAATTACGACTTGTCACTAGACTAAGGGATAGACTGTGTGTAGAGTATGAGATAGGTCGTCTGGATCATCTAGGTTAACAAAGAATGTAGCCAAATGGTCATATTATGGAGTTAACAGTCCGAGCATTTTCCTCGATACCTTTTTGCGGCTGAACGAAGTCGCTTGAGAGTGTGAGCTGCGGCCTAGGGATTTTATAAGGAACGGTGACAATTTATCAAGTTTTATATATGTCACGTGAAGCATGCAAGGTATTTGATATATCTGCTCTGATTTTAGATATGTGCAGACATACAGCAACTCATACGGAACTTTAAAACCTTAGAGCGGAGATAGATACGTTCTCCCAATGCCTAGTTTCATGGGCAGTCCGGGTACCCATGAAGTCCAGCTGGAGACAATATAATCATGGCCTTGGGTTGCTTCGCCTTAGATCCATTGTTTGGTGCCAAGGTGGGATATGAATGATCCCCCATCCCCACGCTCCACGCTCGCGTTATTGATGACATTCATGACTGCCTTAACGGACTCTTCCGGCTTCATGGGACCCTTGAAATGAGGTGCATATTTCCCAAAGCTCGTCATCATCTTTGTAAGACTCTGGAGCTCCTTCTCGGTCACTAACACCAGAGACCATATTAGCAAGTGGTCCAAGTTAAAGTCAGCGGGCCCGGAGCCACAAATTACTTACACTTCGAAGTATCATTATTCACCGCCGTATCTACGACACCAGGTGAGATGCTCATAAACAAGATTCCTTCGTGGCAGAACTCGGCGTGAAACTTGGCGACGGCGACATTCAACGCCGCCTTGCTCATAGCGTACGGGGCAGCCATGTCTAGCTGCGAGTTACGGATCAATTCGACGTCGCAAGCGCCGGTTGAGATCGCGATGGCTTTCTTGACGTCACCCTTCCGGATCAGTGGTAAGAACGCGTTGAAAAGGTGGATCGCTCCGATAGCATTGGTCCTGAAGTTTTGGATGAGATCGTCTTCTAGGCCCTTGGGATCGTCGACCCTTATATTGCGCGATGCATTAGCTAGTAGACTCCCGTGGAGTATTATGTATCAGAAAGAAATGATCTTACATATCGCCGAAGTTTTTGTACGCCGAAAATAGAGAGAGATAGGCGCCATTGGCAATGAGGTAGTCGACCTTCCCTCCGGTGATCTTGGCTGTGTTTTCGGCTGCTTTCTGCATGGTTTGTTAACGTTATAGTTCGCGAACTAGGCACGATAGGTCGACAAACCTTCAATGACTCATAATCCGTCAAGTCTCCCTGGATGATATGAACGTTGGGGCGCTTGATCTCCTCAGCTACTTTCTTCTCCGTGGTGGCCGTGTCTCGAACGAGTCCAATGACTGTTGCTGCCGGATCCAGGGAGAGTTGACGAAGAAATTCGAACTGTTGCAAATCTTTCAGTATCTCTTCAGCTGTTATCTCATAAAGCTGTACTTACTCCGATTCCCCGCGATGCTCCGGCTATCACGTATGAAGGCATGATGTTTCTTGACGTAAAGACGAGATCGTTTGAGAGTTAGAAGCGGCTTGGCTGTTTATAGTTACTTGGTAGATGGCGTTTCTTGTATGTCAGGCAATAGAGACGGGCCATCTCTTGCATACTGGGTCGAGGCAAGCACATAGTTAAATATTCTATTGAGGTCTACTATGAAACGATATAGCATTATAAATGCAGACCCTTGAATAAGCTATGCCGAGATATTTGCTACAGGGGGTTCGGATGAGAGTAGTGAGTTTTCGTCCGGCTGGCGGGCGTACGGTTGATTGCAAATCACAAGTTAGTAAGCCTCCAATCAGAAGTCCCGTTTCCACCTTGATGGCATGATGCTCAACCTGCTAGGATACCAGTTTGTATCTATTGACCAACTTCGTTATGAGAAAACATCTGATGGCGACGTAAGTCTATGGTGGCCTAGGGGGTTAGGAGGGTAACTATTACCTCTGACTTATTGATATTACCGTTACGGGTGCAGTCGTTCATTCAGCTTCTAACCTTGGAAGCGACACGAATGCGCCTCCACGTCCATGCGAGAATCTCGTAGATCGCATTCGAATTATTAGTCGGACACTAAACACATAGTCTCAAAGGGCAATATGCAGACTAAGCCTAACTTGGCGGAGGGAGCCTGAAGCTCCTATAGATGAGTATATGGAGTGAATAAATCTATGACTCGCGACTAGTAGAATACGTTTGCCGAAACATGTGTGCAAAAAAAAAAAGATAGATGAGACCTCAAGTGCTTATATTCATCGGCCTCAAAAACGCAAAAAGAGAATGCTCTCGATCGGGGAATCGAACCCCGGCCACCTGCGAATTGCCCTTTGACAAGCAGGTATCCTGACCACTAGACCAATCGAGACTTGTACTATCCACTGGCCTTTGACCAGTGATTGGCTATGTGTTAAGCGTTGAAGATCGGCCTAAAAATGGCTTCTATATACTAAGATTTGTAGTGACAAGGGTTTCGACCTAAGCTCGTGCCCCTCATCAAATACGGGCACCTATTAGGTATTACCTGAGCTCCGAGCTTCTGTCAACGCAGAGTGCGTGCACCAGTGTACCCCTTGTGAAGCTTCAAAGTTTACAATAGCATTATGATTAGAGCGCGAGCGTTCAATTGGAGGGAAGTTAATAAATAGAGCTTAGAGTAGGTAATACTTCATATAATTAACCCAACCTTCCAAATCAGTGTATTCCTTATAAGCCAAACCGTTCCCTTTCAAATAAATTTCTCTCTTACATAGAAGACCATACCTAGACTGGCCGGACTCGACAATCGGATATTTTGGAATTACGCGGCAAGAGATCAAGCCAGAGCCGCCATTACGTTCACCAGTATGTCCTTCTTATAACATGACCATGTTAACCATCTGGGATTAACTCAAGAACTAACAATTTAGCTACCAGATACTCATATATATCCTGGTGCCAAAGTACACAAGGGTTGATATCACATCAATAATATACGATGTCGTCGCCGGAAAAAACGCCGCTATTACCCGTATCCGCGTCGTCGGGTGGCCCTTCATACCCCAAGACCACTGCCCACGATTGTGAAGACGTCGATGTTGTATATATTACGGCAACTTTCCTCGTCTATCTCGTCTTGTTATTCATTTTTTTCACCACTTATTGGAGCGATGATGATGGGGTAGCGTGGATAGCGTTATACCTTGTCATTCCGATCTCACTTTTGGGGTATGTGTGGGCAGTATGCACATTTTTGTACCTTGAACACATGCGACGATCAGGTAATTACATTCCAATCGCTTTTGATTTCAATGTTCTTTGGCCGACTAATAGCACGTGATTATCGATAGAGTGTGCCGGGACGCCACTAAACCTGATCCGTTAGGTTCCACAGTCCATAGAAATCATATGACCCCGCAGAGCGTATGGTTGGAACGAGTCTGCGCTAGAAGAAGCCATCGTGGGGCGCCACCTGGCACGCAGCCAGTCGTCGGCCTGATGAGATCCATTACCGCCGCTGGTGGCTTTTTAAGCTTTCACCGTTTGCCTTGAAGTTTATCAACAAACTCTTGAAGCTTTTCCTCCCCGAAACCGCCACCATTCACCTTCTTCGTCCTGGTGCAACGGTTCACATCCTATTACACAGATCGAACATGCGTCGTATCAAGATTCATATCAAGATTTAGAGAAATACCACGTCTTGCTTTTTGGTAGGCGCCTCTTATACACCTAGACCGACTTATCCTTTTCACATAGCGTCATAGCGTCATAGCGTCATCGATATGTCGTACTCTCCTATACCGGACCCTGTGCCGGATCAGTCCCGGCACGAGGCTCAAGTGGTCTCGGAACATCTTCCTTCGGGATACTCTGCCGCATTTGACGGAGAACCCGTTAGTTCTACTGCCGCATCCTCTTCAAGCCCGGATATTGCAGATCCTATGTCCGGTGAATCCTCATTGAAACTCCAAGGTGGCGACATACACCGAGATCTGTTTAAGACGGCTGCTAGGGTCAAGATGCACAAGCGAGCCGCGACCTTCCACCACCCCCAAGATATCATGGGTAGTGAACCAGAAGCCGACGGTCTGACTGTGAGCGATCAATTGGCTCCAGGAGGTTTCCGGAGAGCCTTCATCCGGCAGAGGCAGCCACGTGAGATATGGGCCGCAAGGAACCCTGTCACTAGGAACTTCGTAGAATTCCTAGAGCTGTACGGAAGCTTTGCCGGAGAAGACCTTGCTGATTCCGATGACGAAGCGGTCGAGTCCGAAGAGGAGGAAGAAGAGGAACAGCCACCACACGAGAGGAGACCATTGCTTGGACGTCGCAGAACCACGCGTGCCGCGCGGTCCGCCACTGCCAGTACCAGGCAAACCTTCTTCACTCTGCTCAAGGCCTTCATTGGGACTGGAATCATGTTTCTTCCGAAAGCTTTTAACAACGGCGGCATACTATTTTCCTCACTGACTATGTTGGTGGTCTCGTCAGTCACTATGCTGGCGTTCCATCTGCTTCTTGCCTGCAAAGCGCGGTACGGAGGTGGTTACGGAGATATCGGCCAAGCGATAGCAGGTGACCGAATGCGCGGACTGATATTGTCGTCCATCACTCTGTCACAACTGGGCTTCGTCTGTGCCGGTATAGTGTTCGTGGCCGAGAACATGACGTCGTTCCTACAGGCCGTCCTGCAGGGCGACAGCCCATTGTCAACGACGGCTCTCATTCTCTTACAGCTCATCCTTCTAGTACCTCTCGCTTTCATCCGGAACATCGCGAAGCTCGGTCCTGTTGCGCTGCTTGCGGATGCTTGCATTTTACTGGGCGTAACCTACATCTACTACTACGACATCGCTCACCTTGCATCTGACGGTATTCATAAAAGCGTGGTGCTTTTTAATCCGTCAAAATACACGTTGACTGTTGGCGCGGCTATCTTCACATTTGAAGGCATCGGACTCATCCTTCCCATCCAATCTTCCATGACGAAACCCGAGCGGTTCGAGTGGCTCCTCGGCGTCGTCATGCTCCTCATCACAATCCTATTCACAGCCGTCGGCGCGCTCTGTTATGCCACATTCGGCGAGAACACCCAGATCGAGATTATCAACAATTTCCCCCAGGACAGCAAGTTCGTCAATGCGGTTCAATTCCTCTACTCACTTGCCGTCTTAGTGGGTACCCCCGTCCAGCTCTTCCCCCCCATCCGCATCATCGAGGGTAAAATCTTCGGTTCTCACTCGGGTAAGAAGAGCACCCGCACAAAGTGGATCAAGAACGGCTTCAGGGCCTTTATCGTCGTTCTATGTGGGGCCATCTCGATACTGGGCGCTTCGAACCTCGACAGATTCGTCGCGTTGATTGGTTCCTTCGCGTGTGTTCCGTTGGTCTACATCTACCCGGCATATCTGCATTACAAAGGCGTCGCGAAATCATGGCAGGCTAAAGCTGGAGATATCCTGTTCATGGTGGTTGGGATTGTCGCTATGGTGTACACCACTGTTATCACCGTCGTCAACAGCTTCATGAGCTGAGCTGAGCGTTGGGCGATCGACACTTAAGAGGAGAGGTGCGAGCGGAACACAAAATAAATATTGGATTTGGTGTATGGGTCTCATTGGGTCAAAAGTAGAGTTATTAAGCCTGTTTAGTGACGGACCGGCTATTGCCTTGTGATCATTCTTGTGTCTCTATTGTAATCTACCACGGAGACATCACGAGCGGAAACGGAGCTACCTACCTACCACCGACCTACATGTACATGTACTCAGCTTTTACCTTTCATAAAAGCGAGGACTTTGGATTTGATATAACTGACTCAACATTCTCTTAATGCCTTGATGAGGACTAACCATAGATAACCCCAGACAACTTCGGACGACGCCCATCTCCACACCCCACTAGCAGGCGCTCGAGACTAGCATCCACCATGACTCGTGGTAATGGCGCCACCACCTCAATAGGCGAAGGAATACTGTATACCACCAGTCCCACGTACCAGCAGGATCGGGCGCGATTCGTAACATTTTAGAATATTAATACTTGTAGCTTGCGGCTAAGATCGTTAAGGATATATAGAGAGGCGTAGTTGTATAATATAATAGGAATCGATTAAGATTTGAGCAACCGAAATGTTAATACTATACCTACCGATTTACTCGGGTCGCACGAACCTAAATATTTTCAATCCGCTGAACGGCCGTGCATAGATTAACGGTGATAATAGCCAACAAGCCCCTCCTCAGTGCTGATGGTAGATTATCAATAATCAAAATTGGTTTGAACGTCTGAACCTGGATTGTAAATGTTCGATATATTTTATATATGGTATCCAAAAACAAAAATCTCCAAGAGAACGCGGTAAGCTCCTATGTTGCATGTATCCCACGCCCAAACGACTCGATCCAATCCATGAACCATTCCTGGTATTCACAGAAGCGAGTCGTGGATTCCACATGCAAGACCGTCCCCCTAATTCGGATCCTCGCCCATATAATTCTCCCTCTTCCGCTTCCCCATGAACATCTCCCTCATCTCGTCGCGGAACCGGGTCGGGGGCTCCGTGTACGAGGCCTCGTACGCGTCGATGGCCGGCTTGTCCCAGACGAGATCCGCTTCCGCGGGCGCGACGAAGCGCGTGCGCCGGTAGATCTTCCAGCCGAAGAAGGTGCAGAAGGCGACGATGGCCATGGTGTAGAAGGCGAAGAAGTTGCCGACGTTCCACTTGCCAGGCAAAAATACGGAGTAGCCGAAGATGCCCTCGATGACGATCATCCACGCCAGCGCGATGTATCCGCAGTAGGGCTGGAAGTAGCCGTAGTACGGCAGCGTCTTGCGGTCGATGCCCTGCGCCTTGGTCGCGTTGTAGAAGAAGATGTACGTTAGGCTCGTGACGATGTAGTTGATCATTTGCGAGCCCTGCGTCAGCGTGGCGAGCCACGTCACGACCTGCGCCGTGTTGTTCGAGACCTGCAGGAACGACAGGAAGGGGAATACCATGACGACCGCGAAAGCATAGACCGGAATACCGTTCTTAAGGGTCTTCTGGAAAATGCGAGGCGCCTGGCCGTCGCACGCGAGACCGTAGAGCGATCGCATCGCGCAGTAGGTGTATGCGTTGCCAGCGCTGAAGATGCTCGTGATCATGAGAGCGTTGACGATATGCGGAAGGATGCCGATTCCCATGTTCTGCATGGCGATGACGTAGGGGGAGCCGTTGGCGGTTCCGGTATCTGCGTTCTGTAGCGTGTTGTCGTTCCACGGGAGGACGATGCCGACACAAAGCGCACCGCCAATGAAGAAGGCGCCGAACCGCCAGTACACCGTCTTAAATCCGTTCTTGAGATACGTTCGCGGACGTTCTGCCTCTCCGGCTACCATAGCCAGGTA